CGAGCAACCTGGGCATGTGCCCTGGCTAGGAATTGAACCGAGATCTCCTGGATCATAGGTCGATGCTCAACCACTGAGCCATGCCGGCCGGGCAAGATGCCTTGGGAATTTAAAACGTAGCTTAATTCTGAGGCACTACCTCTCTGTCTTGATTATCCAAGAATGTATAACTGGATAAACAGGATATTACATCTAAGTTCAAGGCGGATTTTAAACAACTCTTTTGAGATGGGTGTAAAGGACCTCTTGGGGCATTTTGTAAAACTGTAACCAAACCCTATTGCTACGTTTATTAATGTTGGGTAAACTCAAAGCATTTATTGAGGGAGGCAGGTCATTACAAAATGAAGAATGGTCAATCACTGCTCCGTTAGTTTGTCTGGATGGGGGTTCTTATTTACTTATCAGGTCACCGCCTTCTGCTTCATTTTCTGTAAGTCTGGTATGTTGGTTGGACCATATAAGAAATCTGAAGAAATAAGCTTTTTCCATGAGGAGAGAATTGTAGGTACCTTAGAATCAAACTTTTACACTGAAGGAACTATGAGACCTTGCATTCTACAACCAGATTCTTCTGTCTATTACCTTTCTTTCACTTGAAAAAATTATAGGGCCAATACATAATAATGAGAGAACATTAATAAAAAATACCTTGCAGAAGAATATAGTACAGAAAGTAAAAGTTTCTCACCAATCCCCCAAGGTTCCCCAAAGTAACCACTGTTGTTTCTTTTGTATCTTTCCAGAAAGTTTCTGTGTATATATAAGTATGTGTGTCTATTAGAAACAAACAGCAAGTCTGTCTTATACCCAGATTCTCAGCCACTTAGGGCCCCTCCCCAGAGACAACCAGTGTTATGTTTCTGGTATATCTAAAAGTAATTAATACCTTTATGGGCAAACACACACACATATACAACATAGTGTATATTTTATGTGTGAATGTATGTTATTTTTTTCTTCTCAAATGTTCTATGTTGTATATTTCTAAAAAGTTTACATTTTCACAGCAGTATATGGAATCTCTTTTTTCCCCCATACTCTTACCACAGTGGATTTGATCTGTTTTTTTTTTGGTTTTTGTCAGTCTGTTGGTGAAAAACAGTATCGCATTTCTTGTGCTGATTTTCTTTAATTATGAATGAGTTTGAGTATCTTTTCATATATTCATTTGCGTATCCTTTGTTCATTTTTAATTGTATTTTTCCTTATTGATTTATATATTTAAGAAGTTAGCCCTTTGTTGTATGGCTTACATTAGTATTTTTCAGTTTGTTGTTTTTCTTTTTACTTTAGATGTACAAGTCTCAAAGAAAAAGAAGAGAAAATTACCCTCTGATGTGAATGAAGGGAAAACTGTTTTTATAAGGTATGTCTTTTTACTTCAAGAACTGCTCTATTTGTGTTGCCATCATAGGTTTCTTACCTCCCTCCTCTCCTCCTTCCCTTTCCCCTGCCTTCCCCCTTTTTTGCACTAGTTCTGTTAGCTAGGCCAGAAAGTTAGATGCCTCTAAGACCATTAGCACATCTGGCTCTAGGAACATACCAAGCAATGAGAAACGTAGGAGAATCAGAACTATATACAGAAGATAAATATCAGGGGTCATCATATCTTGTCGTCACTTAGATTTCATTCTTTGTAATTGGGGTGGCATCATTTGGAAGAAATCAATTCTTCAAGTATGACAGACATCTTGCTTGCTGGCCTTTGTTTTTGTTTTTTAAATACGTTTTTATTGATTTCAGAGAGTGGAAGGGAGAGGGAGAGAGAGAGAGACAAACATCAATGATGAGAAACATCATTGATCGGCTGCCCCCTGCATGCCCCCCTCTGGGGATCGAGCCCAAAACCCAGGCATGTGCCCTGACCAGGAATCAAACTGTGATCTCCTGGATCATAGGTCAGTGCTCAACTGCTGAGCCACGCCGACTGGGCTGGCCTTTGTTTTAAGGGGAGTGCTGGGACCCGGGGACACCAGTTGTCCCAAACAATTTCTCTCTTCATGCCTAACTTATCCTCTAAAGTAGTGTCTAGAATAAAGTAAGGCATCCCATCTGTTTCTAGGGAACCTGAGGGAGGGAGTTGGGTACAGATGGATTTTATTTCATGTCGCCATTGCTATTTTAGTCCTACCGACTGCGGTAGATCGGCATTTTCAGAAGGTCGAGGTACCTTCAGCTCGCCTTCAAACTTGCTTGCTTGTTCTCTCTTAAGTACCAGTATGCAGGGCCATAGGAATCTTATTTGAGAGATGTGTATTTTATCTTCCTGTACAGCCTCCTAAGATTGTTTTTATTATATAGGCAATTTATGTTTAGTGGAGGAAATTTAGGAAATAAATGTGCAAAAAGACACAAAAACATTAACCTTAATCACTACTCAGAGAACACCCACCACATGCCCACATCATCATAAATATTTACAAAGATGAGTTTAGCCTATACGTGCTGTGCTGTAACCCATTTTCTTTCTTTACAGCATGTCTCTCCATAATTTCTTTTTACTGTGTTATATGGAATTGCTATATAAATAATTTTGTACTCATAGAGGATTCTAACAGGAAGGAAGAAAAATCATACTTAGAAGCCTGTGACCTCAATACCAAGGATACTATTCCTTATATATCTTTTAAATCAGGGGTGGGGAACCTTTTTTCTGCCAAGGGCCATTTGGATATCTGTAACATCATTTGTGGGCCATACAAAATTATCGACTTAAAAATTAGCTATGAAAAAAGCTCCTAGATTTATTGAATTTTGAGTCCTGCTTGCAGTTGCCTTGGCAGGGCCAGACCGCATGATATGGCCCTTGGGCTGGACGTTCCCCACCCCTGTTCTAAATTAACAAAGAACCTAGGAAAGTAAAGGGATGGAAGAAGTAAAACTACATGATGAGGTAAATGAGAAGTAGTAATGTAACTAGGATGAGTCTTATTGCAGAATATTTTTTTATCTGTTACTCCATAAGATAGAACCATTTATGGGGTTGTTAACTGAGTTTAAGAGAAGTAAAATTATAGGTATTTATTTGACGCTTTTTCTTACCCCTGGAAGGCTGTGCATAGCTGGGAAATGAGGACTCTACACTGTGTTGAAATTTAGTAGAACAAAATCTCCTTCCAACATTTTTTAATCCCATGGAGAGAAATAAGTAGTTTTCTTTTTTTTTCTGACTTAGCCACAAAACTTTACCATGTTTGTTTTTGAGTTATTTTGAAGGATTTTCTTTTTTAAAAAAATTTTCTTAATTCTTTTATTTTTTAATTACAGTTGACATTCAACATTACTTTATATTAGTTTCAGGTGTACAGCATAGTGATTAGATAATTATATAATTTACAAAGTTACCTGCTCAATAAGTCTAGTACCCACCTGGCCCCATACATAGTTATTACAGTATTACTGACTATATTCCCTGTGCTGTACTTTACATCCCCATGACTGTTTTGTTACTACCAATTTGTACTTTCTAATCTCTTCACTTGAAGGATTTTCTAACTTTTGTAAAATTTTAACTGAAACCTGGATTTCATAGCAACATGGAGGAGAAAATGGCTAATCGAAAGAGATACACATTTGACTTTTCTCATTAGTCTACTGTGAGTGTTTTGTTTGTAATCAGGGAAAGTGATTTTGGCCAATTTAAGTGAAAAAGCAGGTTTGTCAGATAAATGTTAGGTTGGTTCATAGATTTAAAGTTGTCAAAGAGCAAACCTCAAGAACGGGATGAAACTCTGGACATTTCTGGGACCTCCGCTGCAGGAGGCAGTGAGTCTTTTCTCTGAGGACACTCCACCACTTTTGTGACTTCTTAAGGTATAACAAATTCTGTAGGATGAATTAGTCTAAGTGTACAACTCAGCAAAATTTTTTGTATTTATATATATCAGCATATATATACATTTACCTATACATGTTTATATATATGGATGTATACATATATCCATGTAACCACCACCCAGATCAAGATATAGAACATTTTCAGCTCCCTGGAAGTTTTCCTTGGGTGGGGCACTGCTGTTTTGAAATGAATCTGCATCTACAACTTCTGGTCTTTGTATATGTCTGTTCAAGTTTTAAATTCCTGGGAGAGAGAATCTGATTGGCATAGGAAGGTCAAGGGGCAGAGTCATACATCAGAAAGCTGGCCAGTGGAGGCCACCCCTATCGGTGCTATTCCTGAACAAGGGAGGGTGGTCATGAGCAAGGGAATCACTCCAGTTGGTGTCTGACTTCTTTATGGATCTTACTTTTGTAATTGACCTTTCTTGTGACCTAATTGTCTTCCATAGAAACCTGTCCTTTGACTCAGAGGAAGAAGAACTTGGGGAGCTCCTCCAGCAATTTGGAGATCTAAAATATGTCTGCATTGTCTTGCATCCAGACACAGAGCATTCTAAAGGTATTTGCTGTCAGCTGGTTAGGCCCTAAAAGAGTGAGACTACTGCCATGGGCACTGACTATGGACCCCTTCTGGGGGCTCCACATTCAGCCCAGGTTTCAGTGGTCCATAGAAGCACCAAGGACGTTCTGAGGTTGTCTTCCATGAGGTCAAATTCAGTGTCTTTCATTCGACTGCCAGCCATAATTTTGTCTAAGCTTTTTAAAGCCCGTATTTACCTTAGGGTGATGAATTCCATTTGTTGTTCTTTGAATTTCAAATGAGATAGCATCTCATGGGTATTAATTATTCCACATTGCTTGACATTACTGGGATATTTTTTAGTTGCGTTTGTTAGAGATAGAAGGTGATAGAAACTTTGTCGTAGTGGTAATAGTCAGAAAGAAAACTATGTAAGAGGAGTGCTGCCGTTGATTTTTTTTTCCTAAAGCTATTTCTTTGAGCTTCCAGGGTTGACCACTCCTAATTTCAGTATATTGCTGTTCATAATTGATTTCATCAGTTGCAGTCATTCTCCTAAAGCAGTGAATTCTTAAATTCTTAATTCATTCTGATTCTTGATTTCTTTGCAAACTACCAAAAGCTGTGAACCCTCTCCTCAGAAAAATGCCACTTCTGAGGGTTTGTGGGCTCTTTGGAGCCTCTCCATGGATTATTAACCTATATTCTAAATTTTCTTATTTTCCAAACTGATGTATTAGTTTCCTTAATAAGCATAGTTTCCAAACTGAGTATTTTTGGATTTTACTTAGCTAAAAAAATGTGCATAAAGCCTTATGATGGAAAGAAAATGGACTGCTTCATGGAGATTAGTGATCTAATCCCAGCTAAGCCATAGACCAGCTGGGTGATTTTTGGCAAGTCATTTAACCACTGTGGGCTTCAGTTTCTTATCTAAAATTAGTGGGTTCAACTAGAGTAATCACTTGAGGTGCTCTAAGCTCTGATATTCACTTATAGTCCTTGGACCTTCTCCATTTCCAGTATGTTTTTCTGAAAACGGGCAACTAGAATTGCATAGAATGTTCCAAATATGGTAGTATATTGCTTTACTGTGATGTCTTTTGTTCTTTTTTGAGTGTGTGTGTATTGGGTTGATATTTTCAGCATGTAGTCTATAGTAGACTTGCTTCGATCTCTGTCTTGGTCTGTTAATGTTAGCTGAGAGTTAATGATCTTAATGAGCATAGTTTTCATTATTTTTTGTAATGCATGTCTTTCCCTAGCTCATACTAAATTTTTCTGGCACTTTTTCTGCCTACTCACTTATACAGCCTTGACCTCCTGCTCCAGTTTATCCCTGTCAGCATTTCATTTCACTGCCTGGAAGAGCAAAATATTATCTGCAGACTTTTAGGGAAGTGTTAAGACCGAACCCAGTATTGACTCTGGAAATTCCAATGATAAAATTCTTACCCATTCAAAGAGAAGTACCTCTTTTTTTCATATTGAACAAATAAGATAATCTGTCTATTAGAAATATTTCGTCCCCATATTTCTTTATTATTTGTTTCTTCATACTGAGTATTTATTAATGCCAGGCACTATGCTAGGTGCTAAGGATATAGAAACAGCCAGGAAACATGGCTCTTATTCCAGACGCATCCAGTCTTTTGGGGAAGATGCCATCTGAATGGTGCTATAATAGAGATGTGAGTGAAGGACTAGCAGGGCGGGGCACTCGGCTCTGCCTGGAGGAGGCAGGGAAGACCTCACTAGATGGTGACCCTTGGGTTGGCCTGCCCATGTGTTCTTTCAGTTAGTCTGCTGGCATTCATTCTTATAGGGGACAAAAGATTAGTGCCCCAGGAGCTGTAGGAAATATATTGTTGTTTTCATATATGAGGGAATACTAACAAAATATTATGAAACTTATATTTCTTTTTTGGAGGAGTTTCCCATAAGGTGAACTTTTCCCTCCTTTGCTTATAAAAGCTGTTTGTTTGTTTTTTAATCAATAGCAGAAATTAGGATGGGTTAATTGACCCTGCATCCAACCAGTGAGAGGAGGTACCTGTGGAAATTCTGGACTGTGGGTTGATAATTGAGCTCATGGATTTCTGGTTCACTGCTATGTTCATTTGATAGAGGCCTGGGCCTTTTACTCCAAGAGGCAAGTGTCCCCTTATCTAATGCCTCCCAAGTAACAATGATGGCAGTGAGATCTGTGATTAATTTCAGGGTTAAGTGGTTGCTGCCTCATTTTGTAAATCCTCTAATAGACATTCAGTAAGTGATGCTGAATAAAATGTTAGGCTGGGATTTCTTCAGCATTTCTCATGGATATTTGTTACTAAGGAGAGAGATGGTAAGACTAAAGTTCTAGGAGCATTGGAAAAGATGAAGAAAGTAATAAAATTTCATTGTGAGCAGATGTTCCTGACACAGTGCTTGTCTCTATGGTATTTAACAAAAGGATGCTACCACCCCTTCCACTTGTGCCAATCTGCCACCATTTGTGTGTTGTTTTTGGCTTCCTGGTTTTGGCTTCCATGGGAGTTTGGCATCTCTCTTGATTTTGTCTCTCTGTGCAGGTTGTGCGTTTGCTCAGTTCATGACTCAAGAAGCAGCTCAGAAATGCCTTGCAGCTGCTTCTCCAGAGACCGAGGTAAGGAAGACATTTCCTTTATCCTGTAACTTAGGCAATAGTGGCTCCTAGGGGCAACATCTGATGTTTACACAAAACTTTATTATTATTAAAATTGTCAATAATGTAATAATAGTGAAGTTAACATTTATTGAGCACTTAGTGTGTGAGAGGCACTCTCATTATGCACATGCATTACCTTATGTAATCCTTACATCAGCCATATAGGGCTGTATAAGGTTAGTACAATTATTATCCCTATTTTATGGGTGAGAACAGGTAGAAAGGTGTACCTGATATTTATTGATCACTGTCTGTATGTCAGCCTCTATTCTAGGCTGATGACATAAAAGACTGGAACAAGATGGGATTAGGCCATCTGTCAAGTGTAGTAAGTGTTTGAGGGAAAAAGTGTATGGGTGATGGAGAATTTTTCTGTGTATTCCATAACCAAGTATAAATTGTTTTGAGTAGTTATCTTGTATTGCCATTACCTGTTAAATTTCCTTGAGTAGAGTTGACACTACCATTTCATTAGCTTTCTTTAGATTTCTAAAAATTTGCTTGTTTACAGATCATTTTCCTCAATTTTGCCTACTTTGGGCCTAATCATCTCCCATAAAATAAGTTACTGCTGACCACCCTAAATACACACATGACCTTTTGCACAGCTATAGTAAATACTGTTAGCTGGGCCAAAATATCTTGGCGTTGGGTTCCATAGCTTAATTGGAGTCTGCTGTTTCCCTGTCCTTGGTGTTCCTTGTCAGGTGCTTAGTTCCCTGTCAGGTGTTCTGTGTTTAAGAGAGAGGGTTGCAATGTGTTACAGGGTGGCGGGCTGAAACTGGACGGCCGGCAGCTCAGGGTTGACTTGGCAGTGACCCGTGATGAGGCTGCAAAGCTGCGGACAAAGAAGGTGAAGAAGCCGACTGGAACCCGGAACCTCTACCTGGCCCGAGAAGGCTGTGAGTAGTGGAAGGGAGACGTAAACCAGGCCTCTTGAGTTAGCTGGCCCTGTGCTGTGACAGTGACCCAGCAATATTATGTGTGGGGGCATGTTTCACATTAAAACCCCAAATGTCCTCTTCAGCAGTGTTATATTACTATTATTATTTTAATGTTTTTTGGGTTTGTTTGTTTTTTATTGACTTTAGAGGGAGAGGAAGGGATAGAGAGGGGGAGAGAGAGAAACATAGTCGTGAGAGAGATGCGTTGATGGGTTTCCTCTGTACACACCCCTACTGGGGACTGAACCCACATCCTAGGTATGTGCCTAGGTATGTGCCCTGACTGGGAATTGAATCGAGACACTGAGCCACACTGACCAGGGCAGCAGTGTTATATTATTATTCCACTTTAGCAGATGTGGCTTTCTGTTAGGAAACCTTCACCCAATTTGTTGATGAACTAATCTCATTGTCTGTTCTGCCTTCTTGCCTTTAGACCTTTTCATCAGAGAATTGGCAGGGCAAAGGGGGGAAACTCAAATTACTTTTGTTTCTTGTCATCATTTCTAATAAGTTTTCTGAAGGAGTGGAAATTATGACTAAAATTACTCTTTTGGATTTAAAATGTGTAGAGTACCTTTCTCTTAATGCTGGAAAGATAATCAGAAATTAGCTTTAACTAAAAAAAAAATCTAGAGAGAATCCCTCCTTCTAGGTCATACAGTGTTTGTCAGCCCACCTGCTGCACAGCTGTACAGCCTGGACTGGTAATATTAGCTCATTAGCCTTCAGTACTAGGCCTCTGTATGGTGATCTGGCTGTTTCCTGGGCTGGCTTATTTCTCCACTTAATAATGGCCCCCAAGTGCATGAGGAACAGTGAAATTCCAACGGCAGGTTATAGGTGGAGCAGTTTTGCAACCCAAATGCCTAAAATGTACTTATTTTCAGAACTTTCTCTAGGCCTTTCCATCTGATGTTGGGCATGCAGATGAAGCTTCTTTGAGGGGAGAGAAGGAGAAGAGGAACAAAATTGCAAAATCTTCAGTGTTAGTCCTTGAGAGTAGCTCTGAGCTGAGAACTTAGCCCTGTAGCCTATTTCTGGCCCTACCCAAATGCCTCTATGTCCTGGCCAGCATAGTCCTCTGGGCCCTGTACAAAGAGCTTGCATCATTCAAATAACATTCCTCTTGTTGCTCAGTGAAAATTCCCTTGCTGATGTCTTGGCCTTTTTCCCTCTTTTTGCAGTGATTCGTGCTGGGACGAAGGCTGCAGAGGGTGTGAGCGCTGCTGATATGGCCAAAAGAGAACGGGTGAGTAGGTTAGGTTCCCAGCCTTCAGGTTCTGCATGACTTATTATAAATCAATAAGTAACAATTATTGAATGGTAGAGGTGTTCATCAAAGAGCCAAGTATCAGTGACAGGCCATACTTACACTGTTGTTAGAAAAGAAGCACACAGGTGAAACAGCAAGTAACCCAACATTATACATAACATTAGTTCAGCATTATATGCCATTATAAGAACTGGATCATACTCTTTATTTTCCTAACACTCAGCAGTAAATGTTTGCTGAATAGCATGCTTGGAGCTCATGCAGTAGTCACTTAGAGGCCAGGGCTATGTATAACTAGGTGTCAGTATAAATGCAGGATAGCATAAGGAAGGAGGCTCAGAGTAGGCTGGAATTAGTGAGGACGAAGGTGGATGTGGGTCTTGGGATAGTTAAGATGCCCATTTTGGGAAGGAGGAGGATGTCTCCAAATTATAAAATAATTTTTGGAAAGCTCTGTATTATGGGAGTTTCCACTGCTAACTGATGCCGTTAAATTCCTCTGCTGCTTGGTAGTGTTAGTTCCCAGTAAGTTTTACTTTTGCCCATATGGCTTACTTTCAAAAAGCTAATCCAACTTAGAATTAGCTGTGGAACCTGAAAGTGCAGAAGATGATGGACCGAGATGAGAATATAATGACAGCAAGAGGCAGTGTGATTTTCCTGTGTACAGCTTCCTGTCTAGACTAGTGTTCTCAACCTTTTTTGATAGTGAGCATCCAGAACTGATGGTATTTGGGGGGCATTGTGTACCCTTTTCTGATCACATTGCAATAGTGACACATTTAATTTTCTCTTAGAACAAATTTTCCTAGCAAAAAGCTCACTAGATTATATGCATTACAATTTACAGCAGGCACAGCTTTTCCTGGAAGGAAAATCAGACTGTTGAACTTAGGCCTCTTCAAATATCCCTTTACTGTTCATTTCCAGAGTATCCGTTTATTTTGTGATTTGTTAGTACCTTTGTCAAACAAGGAGCAGCAGGAATGAGAAGACTTGATGAAAGAAAAACTATAATTTAAACCTTTTTTCTACTAATTTAGTTTTAAAAACATCAGGAGAAGAATGTCATCTTTTATTTAGAGACAGCCTGCCCTGGGATCAGTGTTTTGTGCAGCATAGTAGAGGCTGGTGCTCTAGAAGCAGAATTCATTTCTGTGGTCATGGACATTTCTTTGCCTCAAGGTGGCAGAGTAGAAACGAGACAGCTTCTCTCAAGTATTCTTTAAATAAATCCCATTTTGTTTTGGAAGGATTAGATAGTTTGAGTTGGTAAGTAGACCAGGACTGAGCATAAATGTTAACTACAGTATTATTATTTACTCTGGGCCAAGTTTTGAAGTCAGGATTTTATGTATATCTCGTTTTGGTCTCACATCACTGCTGAGAAACTGGTATTGTTTCCATCTATAGTTCCACTTTGTAGGTGAAAAAAGTGGCAGCTTAAAAAATTTTATGTGCCCAGCTGGTGTGGCTCAGTAGTTGAGTGTTGACCTATGTACCAGGGGGTCACTGTTTGATTCCTGATCAGGGCATAGGCCGAGGTTTGGGGCTCCATCCCCAGTAGGGGGCATGCACGAGGCAGCCGATCAATGACTCTCTCATCGATGTTTCTAGCTCTCCCTCTCCCTTCCTCTTTCTCTGAAATCAATAAAAACATTAAAAAGACGTTTCATGCAACTTCTTCAGTTAGGGCTGGATTTCTGATTCAGTCTGACTCTATCTATGACTGAACCATGTGCCCACCATCTTGCCTCCTGAACCTTTCTTTTCCTGTGCTGGGCATCGTAAGGCTACAGGGTGGGTGATTTCCCTCCTTTTCTCTATAGGTGTAGTTACTGGATGGGGTCATGGTTCTTTTGTTTTGGAGAACTATGAGCCTGCATTTTTAAAAAATATATATATCTTTATTGATTTCAGAGAGAGGAAAGGAGAGGGGGAGAGAGAGAAACATCAATGATGAGAGAGTCATTGATTGGCTGCCTCCTGCACCCCCTGACTGGGGATCAAGCCCACAACCCAGGCATGTGCCCTGACCAGGAATCGAACCCGATTGCCTGGATCCTAGGTCGATGCTCAACCGCTGAGCCATGCCCAGCCGGGCTGAGCCTGCATTTTGAAAGGGTGGATTGGATTGTTAACATTTTGTTGTTCTTTCAGTTTGAGCTACTGAAGCATCAGAAACTGAAGGACCAGAATATCTTTGTCTCCCGCACCAGGCTCTGCCTGCACAATCTCCCCAAGGCCGTGGATGACAAACAGCTCAGAAAGCTGCTGCTGAATGCCACTAGAGGGGAGAAGGGGGTGCACATCAAGGAGGTGAGAGTTGCCCTGCCCCTCAGAACTTTGGTACTCGTCCTGGATCAGATCAAGCATTTATTTTCAGGCTTTAGTGCTAACAGATTGACAGATTTTCTTCTGGACACATTGTCAGCAGACAGGGCTCCCTTTGTCAGTTTTCATGCCTTTTTTATTCTAATAATGCCTTTCATATCTGATCAGATTGCAGTAGAATGTGAGAATGTCTCTTCCCTAGTGAAGTACTTTAGCAAGCATTTATTGAATGCCTGCTGTGTGTTCAGCATTATACCAGGTGCTGTAATGTTAATTTTCTTGCAGAGAAAATAATCTGTGTGCTTTTTATTACCATTTAGGTGCTTAGCCTATGGTTAAGAGTCCTCAGTGCCCTGTGGTGAGCACAGGGAGCTGCACAGGTCTTTGACAGCTGTGTTAGACAAACACTGGATTCACACCAAGACTTGGTTAGATACTGTGAGAACAGAAACCTTTTTTTTCCCCCCATGGTGCCCTTTGCATTTCTATGTCAGAGCGCCTGCTGTTACACTGTCCTGTAATTAATTGTCTGTCAGTCATTTCTCCAACCAGACTGAGCTCTTTGAGGGCAGGTGTCATCTCACTGTTCTTAATGCTTGGCATAGCACCTGGAGCATAGTATTCTGTCAATCAGAATTTACTGAAAGAGTAACACAGCCAGTATTATGAATTAGCTTTACTCTGTTTCATCACCATAACTTTTCGTACTCCCTGAAAGACTCACCAAAATGTATGGTATTGGTATTTGGGGAATTACGTGAGAGAGTGTGAACATATCAGCACATATCTGACACCACTCTTGGTAAAATTGTTCAAAGTGTTACTGGTATAGGAGTCAGTTGTATAATTCCTCATATCAACATCCACAACACTTAATAAGTGTCTGTGCATTTAAAACCTGTCTTCATTTAGAGAAATTAAGGTTTTATAATTGCATTGTATCGAATTTTCTCTTTAACTCTTTCATATGTGTAAGTATAGTGTCTCAGAAAGATAGTAAGCTTCTTGAGGAACTTGATTTTATGCTTTTCTTGATTTCCCTATAGTAGATGGCACAGTTCTAGGCACAGAGTAGATACTGGATGTATACCAAATGCAGTATCCAAGTGTTCCTAATGCCTAGACCTCTCCAAAATGAGAACTACAGCTTCTAGGAATAACAGCATGTGAACAATCAGTTTTCCCAAGATTCCTTACTGTACTTCAGTGCCCCAGGATGCCTGTTACATTCAGCGTAAGGATTTAGGGAAAAGTCACGTCAGAGAGGATCTGAGTGCCAAGCAAAGACAGTGGAGTTTCTTCCTGTATTTCTGAGACCCTTTTTTGGGCAGGCTCTTCCCCATGCCTGAAATGTCTTTCTTATCTAAAGCCATCAGGCCTTCTTCCTTCCTTCCTTCAGTAATTTCCTTTCTGAGGGGTTTCTACAACGATAAGATCTAGGGACTACACTTGATCCTCAGTGATAACTTAATATACAAATTCAGGTACCATGGACCTCTGAACTTGTATGTATTGTCATTAGTTAGCTATTATAATTTTTCCTTGGAAAGTTTATATTATATGCATGCTATTTGTAGGTTGGTGTTGATGTCTATAAACTCTTAGAAAGCATGAAAATATCTATTTGTTTTGTGCTCTCAGTAGGTGTATTCTAATAAGACAGACATTCACAAATGTCATTTCAGTACAACTCTTGGATCTATATGAAGGGTCTGTCCCAATAATTGAATCTGTTAAGGCTTCTCATCCTGTAATTACTGATTCTTTTTCTTGTTCTACTCATAGTGTAAGGTGATGAGAGACCTCAAAGGAGTTCATGGGAAAATTAAGGGTCAGTCCCTGGGCTACGCCTTTGCAGAGTTCCAGGAGCATGAGCATGCCCTGACAGCCCTACGCCACATCAACAACAACCCAGAAATCTTTGGGCCTCAAAAGGTGAGCCTCATCCTGTGGGGAGAGCTGTTCCCCTGAGGACCATTTGCAGAAAACCATTCCTCTCCTTCGTGTCCAGTTCCCTCTCAGTCATTTGAATGATGGGAAGGAGTAGCAAGTCGATGGAGGCAATGAGCAGTGATTCAGGTAATAAGATGATTGGCAGGAACTCTAAATTGTATAGACTACTTGCACAACTGGCCCCTTACCTTGAAGTAGAGTAAGTGAGCAGCCACCTCTGACTTGCAAGCTACCTCTGACTTGGCAGTGGTAGGGGACAGTTCAGTTCGTTGCACTCAGAGATTAGGAAATCTAATGAATGACATTCTGTCTCCTTCTGACACAGAGACCAATAGTGGAGTTCTCTTTAGAAGATCGAAGGAAGCTTAAAATAAAGGAACTAAGGATCCAGCGCAGCCAGGTACAGAACCGAAATGTTTTTTCTGTTTTTTTAAATTGTTGTTCGTAACACATAATGTATAACTCACTGTTTTTAAGTGTACAGTTCAGCCAAGAGAATTATTAAAGGCCATATTTAAACTTCTGTTCAGTTTGTGCTTCTCCCCCCTTGAAATAGGTCTCTACCTCAATAGGTTCTTTGTTACCTTTTACTCTTAGTTCCCTAGAACTCTCCAGACTACCTTCTCCTCTGCTTGCCTGTCGTGATAGCCCCGCAGAAGGGAAAGGAAGGAGAGAAGAGAAACAGACTGATGTTATTCACAGTCAGCAGTTCTTGTACAGTGCTTGGTGATGGTCCATGTCAAAATTAATGGCCAAGATTAAAGTTTTGCATTACCTGTAGATTTCAGCTGTCTCTTTCATAATTCTTTTTTCTTCTTAGATGGCTCCAGGAATATGATGCCTGATAGTTTTAGTACTGTTTTTAATCTAGTGCAGTATAGAAGAAAGAACAGGGACTTTGGGAACTGGAATACTTATGTTCAAACTCAGCCTCTGCTGCTTTCTGAGTTACTTGGCAGGTTATTACCTCTCTCAGCTTCATTTCCTAGTTTGTAAAATGGAATTAATAGTATCCGTCTCACATGGTTGATGGGGATTAAATGAGTTAATACATGTAAGTTGTCTCGCATGTCAGCACACACTCAATACTCATTCTCTTACCCATTTCCTCCAGGGCATATAGGACCAGACTATTCTTGATACCAAAGCTCTTACAGTTGACATAGCTGTTATCCCTTAGCTTGTATGTATGCCAAACATTTGCGGTCTTTATGGCGCATAGTGTGAGCATGACCAATAGAGGAGCAAGTTCAGTGGTTAATACAGTGCCCTGTGTTGGAAAACTTGGGATCTGGCCCTTGTCCAAGGCAACTTTTTTATCCTAGGTTTATTTACTGCCTGACGCCATTGCTTCAGGAGGTGATCCTGAAGCTACTGACTTGAAAAAAAAATTCAGATGGGTTTATTTGTTGTCAGCACTTGTGTACATACTGCTCTTTCTGCGTAAAAGTGCCCCTGCCCTCTGACTCAGTTTCTGTATTCATATCAAATATACTTCCTCAAGTAGCATTTTCCCACCTCTTTCAAAAGAGATAAGGCTTCGTTATTTGTACCCTCATGAGCTTCCTTAAACTCCGTTAGTTTTTTGCTTTGCTCTATTTGTGCCTGTCTCATGTCTCCAGTAGGCTGTGGGTCCTGAGAGGCAGACACTATTCTTTCCATCTGCGCCCGTACCACTTAGAGACAGAGACTGGCATGTAACAGGCACGTAATGATCTTTGTGGATCAATGTTTCTGTCCCGGTTTTTAAGGGGAAAAGGACAACATTAATTTCATGTGAATCTTCTTCTTCTTTTTCCACTTCAGTGCAGCATGAACATGTGCCATCCTTTATTCCTTCCTTCTCACAGCATCTTTTTTTGGTCTTCATTGATTCCTTCTCTAATTTTCTTTTTTTATGTAGAGTTGAGTTTCTGACTTAGGTCATTTTCCTTTTCTGAGGAAATTCATTTAGCATTTTTCACAAGGCGTGTCTACTGGTGACAGATTTCTTTAGATTTTGTTTATCTGAGATTTTTTTTTTTGTCCTTACCCGAGAGAGGAAGGGGGAGAGAGAGAAACATTGATGTGAGAGAGAAACATCAGTTGGTTGCCTCATGTGCTTCCTGACCGGGAATTGAACTTGCAGCTTAGGTATGTGCCCTACCTGGAAATCGGACCCAGTCTTTTCGGTGTATGCGATGATGTTCCAACCCACTGAGCCACCGGCCAGGGCTGCCTGAGGAAATCTGTATTTCTCTTTCACTTTTGAGGGATGATTACACTGGATGCAGAATTCTAGGTTGGTGATCCCCCCCAAGTTTAAATATTTCATTCTATTCTCTTCTTGTTTACGTGGTTTCTGAAGAGAAATCCAATGTAATATTATCTTTGTTTCTCTGTAGGTAAGGGATCCCCCTG